TTGACTTTAGTCGTACCATTATAACGAACTACTATTTCCGAAGTTTTACGATTTAGCCTAAATACCACCGTCAGCTTGATGTTCTTTAGACAACAGCTAGTTATAGAACGTTTTACAGTTTGTAGTGCCACTAGCTAGGAAGGCACCAGTTTTTTAGATTAGACCAACTATGATGATTATATAGCCGCGATGGAGCTGACCCCAACTGTCAATAACTAACCTTGAACCTAACTAATTGAACCCCAGCATTGACTCTAATGTCATCTGGCGGTAGCAGCTAATCTCTCGAAACGCACTGTTTCTGCCTTAACGCAAACGACTGCCCGGATGATGTGAAAGATAGGGTCTGACTTTGTAATCGGTGGTTTTTATTCGAATTGCAGTAGCGTAAGTAATTTTTTTGCCCCACAAAATTAGGTAATTGATTTTCGATTTTTTTCTTTACTGAACTACAATCTTAATAGATTTTCTATGCTACATTGTGTTGTCTCTAGCTGTCGTTTCAATTAGCCATATATCAGTCACAAAGCTATAGAAATTAAATAGAATAAACTTACTGTGAATCGATTATAGGCAGGCACGCGATAATTAGTATAATATTGAACGATGCACCAGGCTCTAACACTAATGTGAAGTATCACATCACAAAATAAAGACGAAATCCACTGTGATATCTGTGTTTTGCATCATGTAATAATGTTTATTTATGTAACTAAATTACTAGGACTCTCTCTCATAGGACATCTCATGGGCAACTATCAAACAAGCTAGATGTATGTAGTGAGCACAGTATCCATAACGGAGTATAGAAGACATAATAACTGATTTATTTTTTGCAAACATAGAGGAAAGGTATAGATGAATTTCTAATGACAATAAGCCCGACATAGCAAAACGCGTAGGCAGTGATTAATAAGGGCTATTTTTACAACATAACCAAAAGCTATATGCTCGAGTACTGCCTTATTGTAAAGTGATATTTCTTTCTTAGTGAAGAAAACAGCCGATTTTATTAGACTTAACAGCAATGACGTTTATTATGTTTGTGTTTTTACGTACGTTGAACATTTTATTTTGATTTTATGTGTATTTGTTTTTTAGCCAAGACTACGAGGCATATGCACTCAGTGGGTAGTGAAGGGATCTATAGGTAGGCCTGCAGACTTTGGATCAGATAGATGCCTGTTTCGCTTTGAACAAGTAGCCTTTCATACAGTAATTCATTGATACTGGACGTGCCTGGCACCTCCAAAATGTCGGATTATATCCGAGAGTAAAGAAGAGTTCGCGCACATTCATTGGTTTTTTGAAGCTTGCAATTATGCGTTCCGAAGAATGTTACACATCGCTTGTTAATTTAAAGTTCACATTTTCGAATACTTTTAATGAAGTTCTTTGTCTAAGGAATTCAAATACATACCATCCAAATCCGCTCCGATCAATATACGTTCAACACTTGTCTAGGGAATATCAATACATTTACTCCGCTCTCGAAAGTGAAGGCCGGCTAAATAGAAACATCGATACGGAGAGGTACAACATGGAGCAGTGCGTTCGATTAATGGTTGATCAATAGTTTCAACATCTGTGCTGTTTACGCATCCGGATGTTATAAATGACAGTTCATATTTTGTGTTTATCTTGCACGTAATGCGTATGTATTACACATCGTCGTCGTCGTCGTCGTCGTCGTAATTAACTTGCAATAGAAATTATCGCGGATCAGTTTGTTGCATCTCTCTACGGCACTGCGCGGTACGGCCAGTGTTTGCTGTTGTAGTAACAAGGCCTAGTAATGATAAAATGTCAGAGCGGATTGTCGACAATATTCATGTATATATATATAAAGATGGTTAGTACTCCAATCTAGTGCGTTACAGTACAACATACAAATAGTACGATAGCTGAGTAGCAATAGTCGTAGTAGCAATGGACCGTCCCACCGTTATCAACGACACGATGAGTCTAATGATTCGAAGTTGAGTGGGACGAGATAGCTAAATGACAAGTCATCATATAGACGAATGGTCGTTGTATTTATGTATATATCGGGTGCAAATGAATCTGCGTCTATAACACGTCGCATTTTTCTCGCAGCTCATATCATAATGATATTCATCGTTTATTACTATTTGCCAACAATATCTTGTGCACTCACGTACTCATCGTGGAACCGATCGACAACTATGGACAATTCGGGCCTGGTTTTCCTAGTAATGGCTATCTTAAGTGGGTAGTACATTGCTTATTACAACAACAAGCAGCTATTGATTTTCTTCGTTTTAATTGCTGGCTGAACGTGATCCGTAGAGATGGTTTCCGAGCAGCGGTAAGTCGAGCCAACACATTTGTTTCCTCTTTTCATTTTTCACCTACGTCAGCCAATCTACACTAGTTGAGTTTCCATGGGCCAAGAAAATCACAAGCGGCTATGACTTGCTGTCTAATTGGGAGATTCAGATAACTTTCGCAGCACTACTCATGTCCGATACATGGGAAACGATCGTTCCCAAACATTAATTGCGTTAGTGGGAACGTATTATTGGCTTGACTTAGCGAAGATCGATGGAAAAGTCATCATCTACAAGATTTCTGCGGTGCTTTTTCACGCATCATTTTTTTCATTTTCTCATTCTATTCTATTTGCTTTGATCGACTGCTTGACCTTGTCAATTCGTTCGTCAACAACTGGCTTTTCGTGAAACGATGGCATACTAACACCGCACCTAAACGCCACTTGTTGCTCGTTAAGTCTGCTTATCTCTGCCGCTCTCTTGTTCTCAACCATGAGTATGTCATATTGTAAGCACAGCTTTGCTTTAGCAACTTACTCTAGGTTTTAATTAATTCCATGTATCATAGGTATTGTTGTTAGTTAACGACATACGACGTGCGTATAGGACTGACTTCAGGTGGCATTTGTAGTTGTGTGTCTACTGACATTTGGCTTTGGGGCAACACTTTGCCCTATGGGCTGAATATCATGCGAGGTTGCCGAGGTACCCGTGAGATCAAAACCTTTCGGCTGGAGATGTAAAAATCACTAGGAGTTTCTAATAATGTCGCTACTTGTAAATTGGTATTGATTCGGATAATTTTATTTACAGGCTCCGCGCGTTCAGGACAGCGTAATTTATGGCAACAGCTGCGAATATAAAAACAACAATTTGCAAATAGAAATTGCATAATGCGTGTTTCAAGCACTTTTCCTTCTGCTGTTCCTTCTCCTTATTATAAACCTTATTTTTATAGATGTATTACACTAACGATATGTTATTTGTTAAGTACCTGTTTTTCCGAGGCCACTTTAATTAGTCGAGTTTACCAAGTTAGGTTTACGTACAATGATTGACTAATTGACGACAGCTTGCCAATACCGCATAATCTAGTAAACTGCACACAATTTTGTTTCTTGTTTGCTTCGTCAGCTGTTTGTGGCCCTGATAGGAAAAGACCCTTGCTGCTTTTTCCTGTACTTTATTCTTGGCTTGATCCATCTCTAACCGATATACATGCGACGATTGGGTGGGTCCCTCGCAGCTATAAATACAGAGACAACCGGACTGCTTTACTCTGAGAGTGAGTGTACCGTAATCTCTTGCACATCCTATTATATATCTATGTAACGCTTAACAATTATATATATATAGGCCTAGCATAGTCCATGCCGATATGTATGCTGTAGTCTGTATTCATGTGTTTCAGAGAAATATTTACGTATTGTGGATACTGTGTACGCGTTCGTACGAACATGACCCAACATACCTAAGTGTATACCCACGAAGAGATTCACATGGAGCTAACAATGAAAAGGATTGCCGCTGAGTATGTACATACACATGAATGTGAAGAAGTTCGAGAAACGACGAGACATTGATTTTCTACAATATAAAAAAGAAAAAAAAAAACAAGAAAAAAGAAAGAAAGCCAGGCTCTGTAGTATCAAACACAGTAATACAGTTTCCCCTTCTTCAAAAGTCAACGAGAGCTGACAACCTTTATTTGGTTGTATGTTGCTATGAATATATAATGGTCGTGACGATGGTTGTTTCACAATCTCTGTAAACTCTTTCGATATCCTCCTTGTTATCATTATATATGTGTGTACATCCCCCAATTGGTGTCATCCACCAGCGTTATAATATTTATTCAAACATTGTCACCTTTTGCATACTTGAAAATATCGATCGAGATATATTATTGTGTTCTCATTATCTATTATGCGAGCATGTATTGATTGCTATGATCAGCAAAACTGCAACAGAAATGTCACGGAAACGAATCATGGCATGGATAAGCCATCGGCCACACGTTAAAACTATGAATCACAAAGGAACGACTCGATATCGACTATGTGGTTGTTACCTCATTCACTCGAACCCAATGGCATTTATTTGTCAGTGACGATCAAAAGTTTTGCGAATAACTCACCAGGTGGCATGCAGACTTCGCATTATCTGTTGTATCATTCGTGTTGTATGGGCGCTTCCATGTACGTATACTAGAATACATTGCTGCTAATGATGAGAATATAGTAATAAGCGTTATTTTGGGAATTTATTACATATTCAATATATATAATGTAATAACTATAGTATCTTAACGATTTGTTATTCGCTAGGATGGTATAAGTAATGATGAAGCCAAAATTGATCTCGTTTGGCCGATGGTGCTTAGTCGTTCGTTCAATACATAGACGACACTGGAGGAGTGGTAATTTCGAAGCGGCTATTAATACATAGCATGGTTCTTTTCTCTACAATGTTATGCGGCATGTTGGCATAAATCAGGAGTTAATTTTTGGGTAAATCGATTTGACTGGTGATTGTTTACATATGGTTGTTTGATGCAGTACAGCGGCAAGGTCTGCGTCGCGCAACCTCAGCTGTCCGATTGATGATTGGCTTCGACGACGACGATGGTGATGATGATGATGATGATGATGATGATGATGATCAGAATGAGGAAGATATGAATCTGTGAGAACTGGTATGTGAGTGACGATAGCTTCCTGGAACTCTTTACGGTCTTCTTGGTTCGAGAATATTTGACAATTTTGATAGGGTCCTCTGATTGTCGATCACTTTCAAATTGCTGCAACAGGAGATTCACGGAGGATCGATTTACTGAATGCAATTCTAGGTCGGCGCGATTCATGACTTCTGATTTTATTATGTAAAAAAAAAAAAAAATGTCAGTTGATCCGCTCATTGATTCGTCTACTGCATATTGTTGTCTTCATAAAGCTACTTACCGTACGTAGTCAGCTACGACATCATTGTGATTAGCGGTTTTCGAGGCAGCCTGCGGGTGCGGATGCTCGATCCCCAGCCGCTGGCTTCTCGCGTACCGCAAATGTCGAAGCGTCTGACCAATCATGTGCATTTTCTCGAAATTCACCAACCCGTCGATATATGTCTTGTTCCCCAGATGGCAGAACGTCATATCCTTTAGCAGTAGCGGCATAAAGGGAATCTGCAAGGGAATTTATAGGAGGGATCATATCAACTGGAGTTGAGTATAACAGTACAGATTTCATAATGATAACGCGTGCAGGAGTATGACGAAAGCGTATAATACAACGACTCTGTAAAGTATTTCACATACGCATATCTACGAGCGGTATTTAGCGACATGTCGAAACGAGATTAGTTCCAATAGTTTTACAACTTCTTTAATATTCTGAAAATGTGATGCATCCGAAAATTTCACGAAGCTGAGATCTATCAAAAAACGACTCACCAGTGGTGGCTGAAGCTTTGCCACGGCAGAGCGATATCGTTTGTGGTTCCGTGAAGGATCGATTAAGTTTTCGAGATCTTCAAATGTGCGGCGTAGCTTAGATGGAAGACGCTCCCACGTCTGGCTGAGGCGGGAAACCGCCTGATTACCCAAACCCATAACGATTGCGAACAACGAATTCAGGTTTTGGTACTCGCGACAGCTAATAACAAATTAATATTTAGATCCGGATGCTTTTATGACGGTCCTAGTTAACGCATTCTATGCGAAGATTTACACACAAGCATTTCATGTTCGGTGTTCCTAGTCTGTTTCTATCGTTATACTCTCCGATTTGTTTCTAGGGGATGTTAGATCAAATTATTATTACTATAATTTAGATCTAAAATATTATCGTAGCACGTTCATCATGCAAAGTTGATCACTTACTGTTGGGCAATCTTGATGAACTTCTTTAACAGCTGTACTCTTCTCGAAAGGGAATTGGCTTGACACATCTCCGTTACGACCCAGAATTGAACTATGTTAAATCTTCGTTGGAACATGTCTAGATTGGACATGCCTCGCCGAAACTGGTTTCTACCAAACACTTGATAGATTAGTTCATACTAAAAAAGTAGAAAATAAACGTCAAGTTATTATAAATGTGTTTACTTATTACATCTACGCGAGACTTGCCAAGCAGAAGAACGACATTATTATGCAATAATCATTTCTTACTTAAGGCTTACTTACCTCGTGGACAGTAGTGAAAAGCTTCCATTCATAAACGGCCATATGGTAGGCGATATCTTGAGAACTCAGTGACTCCAAGATATTTGCCGTCCCGTCTACAAATGGGTTCTGCTCTGCGACTGGTGTCTGTTTAGAAGTAAAATAAATAATTATGCATGTCATATTAAATTATACAAGTTTAGTTCAGTTCTGCAGCAACGTAATCACAACCAACTGGTCCTATATGGCCATTCAAGTACCGTCTGACGCCTACATCGTTAATCTATTTTTACACGGTACATTAGTCGACAGATTTCTACAAGTAATCAATAACGGCAATACTGAGCAGAGAGTTCAATTACCTAGTAGCAGCAATAAGGGACCTTTATTTAAACTAAGGGCTCCTTTTTCCGATACAGTCCTTTTCTCAGTTAAGCTGCTGTCCTGCTTATTTTTGTCGTCGGAGGAGTCGAAAAGATCCTACGGATCAGTTTATACGAGTCTAGAAAACAGCTGAAGTAACTTACAAGTGAATCGAGGTGCTCAATGGGCACAATGAAGAGTCGTCCATTTATCGATAGTCCGGTGGCAACGGATACTTCGGCTTCGTTGAAAGGCAACCGTTCACCTGTACTCTTCACCTCGACGAGAATCGTTTCGTCAGCTGGCATAGTTGTTTTCTCGGTAGCTGAACGTTTAATTTGGTCAGCTGTCGCGATTATGGGTGTTTTTAGCGTCACGTACGTATGATCTGCACAATATACTCGAAAAATAACTAGAATGCAATTAATCACAAACAAACAATAACATAAGCATAATTTATTAGATCTCAGTAAGGCTCTGAACAGAAGTTATCGACGGGCGGAAAATTCTTGCTAACATGCGAAATCGCGGCAAATTACTCACAAGTAAAATGTTCAACACAAACAGCACAACATACCAAGTGAAGAACTTACTTTCATCATTTTCTTTGAAGGGTCGTATGTTTTGTAGATCGTGCAGTGCTCCGTTGCCTCCTGAAGTACTGTTGCCCACCCCACTGTTCGAGTTGTTGGCCTGAGTGCTACCGGACCCATTCGGACCGGTTGGGGTATCATCGGTTGTAGTACTTCCCGACGAAAGGTGCCGAATTTGACCGTAAGCGTCCACCTTCCACTTCTGGCCACTTGTCTGGCTCGGATCCGTGCGATACCTTAAGTATGTCGCAGCACACACAAAGCGTGCATATAGATGACGTGAGTAATCGACAAACTGGTACCCACTCTTTGCTATTTACAAAAAATTGATAGTCGTTGCAAGTAAACTCTTTTCTATAAGGATGACGGTGGCTTACCTGTAGCTACCTTCGTTTTTTGTCCATCACACAACTACGTTTAATGTCGAATCAACCCTAGGTGGTCCGGATGTTTACATAATCATACGCATAAAATTCATTTGACCTTTGAAGAAGGCGAGCATTTTTCCTCAGGCAAAAAAATTAACTCCTTAAATTTCGGTTTATGGAAACATTTTAAACCGCTTGCTTAACTTACTTGTTGACGATATCGAATAGTCGTTGCACGATAGCCTTTTGGTCGATGAGATAGTGTCCGGGGTACCGAATCTGGTCTTCTTCAATAGCCCCAGACAGTTCCTCGAGAAAGCCCTGAACAACAGGGTCCTGATAGAATGGCTCTCGCACGACCCCAGCCCACGCTGCTGTAAAGTGGACAACGCGGCGTTTTGATGACAGAATAAACTCACGATCCTAAAAACAGAAAACGGCCGGTGAAGTAAGCGCGTGTCTAGCATTTAGCACAAAATGACAAAAGAACTACGAATATACCGATGAATTACTTTCCAGCAAGGGTTAGCGCTGAAAATTAACGAAATATGTTCTGCTAACTCAAGCGAGATTACTTTGTTTAACGACTTGGCAGGCGAAACTGGAAAAAACTTAATTTTCTAGAGCAGTGTTCATCGAATGCAGTTCGTAGACAAGTGATCTTCATTATAGACATTGCGATCTAGACAGATATTTGAGGACATATTGTTGGACAGTTAAATGTTATTTATATATAAATGGTAGAATACCTGTCGTTGATTCACTGAGTCAAGTCTGTAATGTTTCATAAGTTCAGGGCAAAGTTCATGCGACGGCATGAAAATGACGTGGGTGAGTAGAAAATCTTCAAGGAATGAGTCTGCGCCAGTTGTACTGCCTCCTAGAGACCAAAGCACTGTAAATGATAGTATCGATAAAATCACAACAAAAGTAGATTAAACATATTATATACAAATTACGGAAATACGTAAAATGAGTTTAAAAGATCCGAAATATTTCGACGAGATACCTATCCTCTGTGGAAATATGTAATGTCTTTTTTTACCTTGATGTTCGTCGCCACGCTCACCGATACGCGTCTCAAGGAGGTGTTCCAGCATTTTCTGGGGTGTACCGGCCATAACCGTGTACCTGTAAGGGTGACTCTAAGTATGAGTTCTACGGAATTAAAATTATCATTCTCTCTGCGTTTTTTATACTGAAATGTCTAGTGGACCTTCTAAAGAAAATGACAAAAACGCAAAGCGAAATAAGTCTAGCCTCTGACGTAAGTCGATCTTCTTCCGGATCTTAATATAATATGTATTAGGTCTTCTTTATTGATGAAATACTTAAATATGTTGGCAGTACATCGCGAATGTGTGAGACTTCACATATGACTGGTTGGATAAGAACGCTTTATTGCTCATACATTCAGGGGCCCATCACCGTACTAGAATGAAAAACAATTATAGTAACAAATAAATAATTTAAAACAATAAGTTGTCGCCAATAATCGTCATTCGAATAACCGAAAGTACATTGGGATTCAGTCAAAGGAATTGAATTTACTCTAATTAAATGCTGCCGTCATCCTGTTTTTCGTTTACGACGTTTGTACCGCAACACGATCATGGACGACGTTAACCTAGTGGATTATCTTTTTTTTTTTTCACACGAACGTTACGTGTATCGGTCCTTGTCGTTCCCCCTGCCCCATTTATCATGTCGCCACCGTCCGAACTCTGCTCAGGTACTTTCTTGTCAGTTACATCGTCAGTCAATGCCTCTAAAACCATGGCTAGTCATACCACTGTAGATATTTGTTCGCTACGCTGTATATCGGGAGAGAAAAATGACGACTAGATCCAGCAATAATAGCAGCAACATCGACCAACTAATAGAAGGACTATGAAGGCCATAACAGCGCGGCACATCACGCAAGTAGGCTATGCCCGTGTTACATCATGACAAGATGGCTTGAAAGGACTTCACTGAAAATCAATTCTGCGATGGTTTTAGTCAAGCATGTTTATTCCTGTCACGTGTACGAAGGCCACCATAAGCTTTAATATTACCAGACCTATCCACATTCATGCTGGCTTCTGAACCCGGTCTAGATACAGACGCTTTTTTTTTTTTTATAAAAAAGGAGTAAATTAAGGATGGAGTCATTGTCTAAATAATATTGATCCAAAGAAATATTAGATATATAAATAATATCTAAATAAGAATGTGATGATGGTAATTTAACAGTAGTCGATGCTGAAGCATACAAAGGTGACAACTTTATGATTGTCCAGTAATGCATGACTAAAATCGTTTATTCAATTTCCGGCTTGCTTTGAAAGGAAGCAACAAATCGTTTGGGACAACTCATAATGGCTCGTCCAAGTAACTGATCTCTGAGCTAGCAGCCCCGAACTTTACCCATAACACAAAATGACATACCGGACATATTGTTAGAAAATGTACAAATCTATTAAACATGATGCAAAGTTAACGATCATAGTTATTCCCGCATCTTCGTAACGATGTTTTACTAGAAATCATCTTACTTCATCTTCGGCTGTTGCTTGTACCTATCCCGGGAACTAACAAGCAAAGTCGAAACCGCTGTTTGATCAAAACGATTTCAGTTGTCACACTTAGCGCCATGTCAAAAATACTTCGTATTTCTCTGCTTTTTTTACTTCACAGACAACTGATTTTTCCTATTTACTCCCTTCACGCAACCAGTGTAAGAAGTCATAATTCCCAATAGCTAAGTTGTCTGTTATTATATCTATGGTTTCTATCTGGCGCCCTTAGCTCACTCTCGTCTTTCATTATAACGGATCACATTTGCTTTGCAACTTCCGTTAACGCACCCGTTATCAAGTAAAGCGCAATTTTCGATATTGTTTTTTGTGTTAAGATTTCCAGTAAATTTTCATGCACCACTTCGTCTTATCTCGCAACAAATTTCGCGCCTGTTGATTTCAGTTCTCGTTGACGGATGGCCTGCTGAAGTTGTAGACTACCATTGTAGCCGAAATGATGATAATTGCGGCGTTCTATCTTAGATAACGTTCATACGAGTTTCTCTAAAAGATGGTTACTGCTGATCTGACTTCCTTTTACTGGCCACTCGGCGTTAGATCTTTTTGCTAAAGTGTGACGCCTTGGCGAACAAAAGAAAAAGATTTCACTGCGAAAGACGACAGAAAGATTCAGTCGATGATTCAAATTATCTGTTAACTTGTAATTATTCCGTCAATTTGCGTTAATGTCGCTTTCGTTCGTCCGTAGTTCCATTTGGTGTCACAATTGATTTGTCTGACACAGCGATAAAGCAAAGAAAATGATGAAAATATACATCGGCGCTGAGATCGATTTGCTTTCAGTTCTATGTGAGCGCCGACGCGAAGTTTCCACGAAACTTCGAAAAACTTCGTTACAGGCTACATGGCAAGAGTGGACAACGACAGCGGGAAGGTGGCAGCTAACTACAAATGTTTTGCAGCCGATTAGAAGATGCCATGAGTTCTACGCTAGTGTCGCCAAAAACTAACTCTTGCGTTTAAATGTTGGTCTTTTTTTCTTTTAAATACTGGCAGCAATCACCGGCATTTGCATGTAGTCACTTCTGGCCTCCCTCAATCGAAATCAACAATCATTGCCGCCAAGGCGTTCTTTCGCCGCACGCTCATGTGGGTCGAGGATATAGAATCGATGGACCGAGCTGAAGTCGGTCTCTTTGCTCTTTTATTCCTTGTTTGATATTGTTCGTGAAATCGATTGTTACACGCAGTTCTTTCCTTGCTACTATTTTCCTTTGAAAAAAATCCCACTTCTTCCTTTACTACTATGCGTCACACGCGGGCGAATTGAAAGTGTAGAGGGTAGTTCCTGTTGCTTGAGTGTCCACTGCTATCCAAGTCAGTAAGCAAATATGAAATCCCCTTCCATTGGGGACACGTCCAGGGCAGCTAAAAGTGACAAGTTCACGACGAGATCCGAAACGCGATGCGGAAACCCGTCACGTGTAGGTACACGGTAGATGCTACACGACGGCATACATACAGATACCGGCAAGGAAGGACGACGTTAACAGTCTGAGGTTAATCCGGGTCAAGAGCATGAAAAACTAGTATGGTCCCAATGCAACATCCAGTGATGATGTCTTGCATTTTCGACATATACGTATTCGTCGTATAATGTCGACGCTAAAACAGCAGATCGTAAATGCCGTGAAGCAACGGGCCAACAGCAAGGCGTACTAGAAAATATCCCACATAGCGTTTACGCAGAGCCGGCGACAACAAAGCTCATATCGCTCCTCCTAACTGCACACCTTCATCATTACGTACACATTACACAGGTACCCCAGTGTTAGCCATTCTCGCTGATGTGTTAACCGTTGATCATTAAACGATTCATAACAATAACCTACGTACTTGTCTGGCTGATTTAGTTGTTGTTGTTCTCTATGAAACTCATCATAATGATAATAATTAGAAAGCCAAAGGATAGGAACTAACCGGAGTTACTGACAATAATCATAGCAAACACGGAGTAACCCTAATAGTTTAAACTTAGTTTCAAGCAAAATTCTTTCGTTCCATTTACCAGCTGCAGCCAACGCACCCGTCAGCGAGTTCTTACCGCAGCTTTGGTGCTAGTAACTGTAGCTTGACGCCGTTTGGCTAGTGTGCATGTATAGTGCCTAAAGTATATGTACTACTGTATAGTCGGTTCAACCCAGTCAGAAGTAATGCGGTTTATGACGTTACATTGTTTGTTTACCGTCGTTGCCTGCCTTGTATAGAGGCAGAAAAGTTCATTATAAGATTTCACTTGAAGCGCTGCTGTTGTTGATGCTGTTGACAGCGACGGTGGCGGAAAGAACGTGCAAAACAAACAATTGACAAGATTAGTGCTTAATTAGGATGTCGTCCGTGTCAACGTACGGTGTGAGAGGTCCGCGCAAAAGTTTACCACTTAATCGCTACTATTAAATTATAAAGAGACTCTAGCATAAGTTCAATAAAGATGTCATATTATTATTTCCTGAAACAGTGACAGAAACTGAATAATAAAATTGGTTGGGGGGACATTGAATTGCATTGCTTTCTGAGATGTCAGCTTGTTATTCCGTCATTTGTAGGACCTCTGTGATATCTATGAAAGGCGAAGTGCGCGTCGGGACCGCGTAGAACAACCTGCCAATGATGTCCTGATAAGCTGATATACGATAAAAATGAAGACTGTTTACTTTTTGACGTAATGTATCACTGTACGAGAAAATTGCGTACGTTTATTGAGTGCTGCCTCTACCTTTAGCCTAATCATCGACGCAATTGCCGCCCCGATAGCGCGGCGTGTGTATAGAAGACACGGAATGAGCGGGCGAGCAAACGACAAACTCCCCACAGCGACGCACGGGGGGCTGGAAGATGAACATCATTCAACCCGGCAGTTAAAGCAACAGCGAACGCCATGACAGCGCGGTGCAATGGCAAAATTTTTCCGGTTGTCACTCGTGTCCACGGCCACGTGCGCCATCCCAATGGGGAAAAGGGGAAATTGTCAAAAACTTTGCCAGCACAGTCAACTCTTGCTATCCAGCGGTCCGCCAATCAAACAATAGCAATTAATAAAAAAGTTCTATAAATAATATTAAACGTCAAAGAGCAAAGACAAGTTTACGATAGTAGCTCAGTTAAATGAGGCCGACTTCGAAGTGAGGCCAAGCAAAGACTGAGAACTTCGAGCCGTGAAGTAAAGGTATACCTGAGTGCTACACCAGGGAGGTTACTTATCTGTACGATATAGGACACGACAGGCGCCTATCGTCTAGATAGGATCTGTAATTAGTAAATAAGGTTACACCTAGGAAACTAAATGGTTAGTCTCTGGTCGAAATGTCGGCTGCAGAAGAAGCAATGAATTTTGAAGGAGCTAGCTGCCATTTCAAGATGGAACCAGGTTCGAAGGAGGGAAAAACGTAGCCGACGAGCTGTTAGTTCCCGTTAGGACCTGCGCCTGCCTATAAAAACGTGTGTAAGAAAAATGTATAAGAGCCTAAATAAAGGCCGAAGAACGCGTTCATTTATTGCTGCAGAATTGTTGTATAATGATCTGCCATTGGCTCGGCGACGTCTGACATACCTGCGAAAAAATATATCGCAAAATAACACTAGATTTTGCATAAAGTCGCACAATGAATGAATTAACTAATCTCTGGAACATTTTTCGCATTCAATTCTGCTGCGTTTCTAGTTAAATCGGCAGCCTGCTGTCATTTGGGTGACGCTTAGGAACCCTAATAGATTCATCAAATATAATAGCATAGCTACTACAGGTGAATATATGAACACGAATGTCTTACTTGTAGTGCGACGCATTGTAAATGGCGTTGTTCCGGTTGTTAGCCAGTGCGTTATTGGCCTGTTGCCCGTTGGGTCCTGCCTGCGTTTGGTTGCTGATGGCTGCAGGGCCGGTACCAATCGGGGATCCTGTTTGGACCTCCTGATTTTGTGGGCTTGTTTTCTGCAGGACCAATACATCCTGGCCATGCTCTTTCAGGCGCACTGTGTTTGCCTCAACATCCTTTAAGAAAACATAAGAAAGCAAACAAGGAATCGGCATAGGACAAGGAGTTAATAATTGTTTGTATCTAAATATGTTACTAAATACTTAGGTTAACTAAGTACGTTTTACATTTCAGATTCAATAATTAGTTAGTTGTAGAAATGTTTTGAATGTTATTCAGTCTGTAGTAGAAAGCAGTTTTGTTCCGCTCACAGATCCAAAACTACAAGTGAACTGCCTGAAAAACAAATCGAATTTTGCAGACTTTACAGAGGAGCGAGAAAATAGTTCACTGAGTTGTCCACTGTACAAATCAACCGTGGACTTGGTTTACGAAACTTAAACTTGAGGTCAAAGTTACATATATTTAAAATCTAGTAAATGCTGTACCGATTGAGAAGGAGGTAAAAATAGTTATACAGCAACGACCTTTTCATCGATGAGGTGCTCCCTTACTCATTTAAGGACAACCATGAAAAGGAAACAGTAATAACATCATTATATTTCCTTAATATAACACAAGATAATGCACAAGCTACCTGTACGCTGTATTTTATAAATACAAAGGACGCATAGTATATCCTTGATGTACACAATTGATCATAAACGTCGACAAAGTAGATTGATTGTAAACGAGGAATAACTATCGATTCGACATTATAATCAATATTTCTCTAACCTTGAGATTGAAATAATTACAATTTCAAGTTTCCCTGCTTATGTCAACTGTATTGCGGAAGCACGAAGTTACCCGACCCGATCCGCCGACTCCCTAATGGTATCTAGCTACGGTTGTAAAGCAAATAACCAACACAAGATCCCGATCAATGACGACGCTAAAACGTATCGATCTTTGAGTTTCAAATGTAATCATATTATAGAAGAAAAAATCCACTGATCGAACGAAAAAAGATGTTGCACGTCGTCAAATTTTAGGTGCTCCCAGATCGCTCTCGTCATTTATAATAGTTATTATTTCCCATTTGGCTTGCTAAATAACCTCTGAGCAAAAAACAGATCCGTGTCAGCGTTTGCTTCTAATCTTTAAGCGTGCGTTCACAAGTAGGAGGCAGTCAAATAGCTCTCATCCGTCGATCGTCATTGAAATCGAAATGCCCAGCTAGTCCAATGTGAGCGGAAGTGTTGGCAACGGCCCCCTCTGACATCCTTTATTGAAACAAACGGTAATTACTCGGTCACGATCATGAACAAAAACCGTACATAACAATGATGCACTGAGCGTCGATCATGTACACCAGTGATGGATATAGCACAACGACTGACTGAATAGTAGCCACAATATGTTAGTCGTATCTATTGAAGCAACGAGAAAATCAACACCGTGAGAGTGCTTATATATTATGTAGGGTCATAGAGAATTTTCTATATATATTGACATATATTCATATGTCGCCATATACAACCATATATACTTGTTAATTATTACCGAGGCAATAGTTGACATAATGGGCTTTATTCATGATTCGTTTAGGCTTAAAATCATGCAGTATAAGGAGGTAACAATATCTAATGGAAACCTTCCAGCGTTCCTGGTCAGTCAAAAGTAAAGCTATCATAAGGTGAAATTGATCTACACGGGTTTCGTTAAACATCTACCGAGACGATCGTGTGAAATCGCCTTAGATGTTATTATAAAGACATCGAATCAGTAGATGTTCCATTATGCAATATGTACGCAGATGTAGCTAGATGAGGATTATGACATGCCTGTATAGTTACCTTCGCTAGCGTGGCGTAGTTAGAGAGGTATCAAATGAAAACGAAGGTGAAATTCAGGAGCGATAACGACGCTAATAGAGCAAACATAGACATTTTACGATGACAAAGGATTACATCGATTCAACGACTCGCCGTAAACGAGCCGGCTGAAAACAAACGGAAAGAAATGAGAAAACGTAGATCTGATGCCAGCAGTGCGACTTCCGCATCGAGAATTCACAGCAGGAGAAGTCAATCCGCGATTCCGACAATAATCAGCCCATCTCAGCTGATAGTCAGGATAGTTTTCTACCAGCTGAGTTAAAGCGAACCCGCCATGATGACGAAGCGTAACGGAGCGTCAATGTCAGTGTCAACAACAAGTAAACACAGGGTATTACAACAACTCAAGGTGTCAACAATCTGCCGCCTACAACTAGCGACAAGAGATGACAGCTCCATAATAACAGCCGAAGTATAAAATATATTTGGCCTCAAAGTCATTGCGGCCTTTACTACGCTGGACTCGTGCCAGCTGAATTAATGATGTTTACATTTACGTTCACCTTTGTAAATAAAAAAATTATTCTATTTACGTTTACAAACAATAGGCTAGATAGACATATCGGTATTGGCTGGAAGATGTTCGAGCAAGAATCGTTTGGGTAAGGTGCTAAACAACTTGGTATTGTAATATTTCGTCGGTCAGAAAACGGTTTGGCAGCCTATTACCTACTCTTGCTGTCAGCTCATTTGGTTAAGCCGTTTGGCTTGAGAGCTGGTGGGATTTATCTATTTTTTTTTTTTTTTTTTTCTAGACTAAGTAAATGTTTTGGCTCTTACATTCGGTACGGCCGTTGAGCATTGCTTCAGACGGCTGGTTCCCTTACGAAGTGAAGTGTGTCAACGCCGGGTTCCGAACCTACGTCATTGCTTGCCTCTAATTTTAGTGAGCAAAGACGTTCCACTAGAACATGACGGGGGCTGATTTTGGCCCGCTTTCAAAATATTCCTGACCACAGTTCACAAGTGATTGTTTGACTTCTTTAGAAATTGTCTCACACGTATATGTTATATTATAGCGCTAATAGAAGCGATGTACTGTCAAATGTGTGGGTATAATAAAAACGCTGTGAAGACCTCTATTGACGCACTAACGTATTTATCCCATGTCCGTAATATTATCAATGATCGTATGGATGCAGTTATAACTACGAATACTGATTCACCCACGGTTTTTCTTTTAATGCACAACAAAGATTCGAAACATACCGAGCGTTGTGTTGGCAAAACGTCTGCCCATTGGCTTGGTTTATTTTGCTCAATTAAAACTATTGACGGTGCATTAGGTAATTTTTACGGTAAATTACCAGTGCTGCTAGCGGAACTTGAACGATAAAAAGACACAACTTATAGTCTGAGAGATTCATTCACGATTCAATACATTACATACTAAAGGTGGTCATACTGAACAACCACGAACGAAAAAAAGCAAAGCTTCATTTATTCGATCGCAATTTGTACTACCAATGCGTACGAATGTTGTGTTAGGAATCACCATAACGAACGAAGACCACGGCAAAATTCTTGGACGTACTGGCGGGTTCGGTATCGGCGGCATGCGTTCCCAATAAACAACCATCATGTGCAGCGAAAAAGGACCGCGAGTTGAGGACCAAACTAGCGGACTGGAATCTCGAACCGCAGAAAAGTTCTGCCCTAACACTATGATGTTCATGCAAGCTTTGGTGTGGAATACCGAAGTTTTAACTGGAAGAGGCAGGAGAATAGATCGACGAAAATGAAGCAGAATAAGAGAGAATACCCGAAACAGTACTCCGTAAATCAGTTCGCTATTCAAAGCTATGGCTTTTTAAACTACCATGTAATAGCTAAAATAAAAAAGAAACTACAGACCCGTTGTCAATCGCAAACACTGCTTTGATAGGTAGTCTACATACTAAAATGTAGCTTTGAAAAGGTAGCAAAATGCCCAAGACGAAATCATACACTGACATAGCAGTTGTTGTTAATCCCATTATATCAAAGAAAAAAAACGCTTTTTGCGACTATAACAGCATGTAGCATAATAACGAAGCTGAATGGCATAAAACAAATATTATCAAATTTGCATTTATGGGGCAACGGTCAGTCCTCGGAACCGGATGTACCAGTTCCTCTAACTACACGTTATCCTAATTGCATATATATAGGGGACAGCATGAATGAACGGTAAGTTGCTCGTCTTTGCAGTAAAACCTACTGTGAAACTAGCGCTAGAAGGCCCAGAACGCAGCGTTAACGTTCGGCGGTGACGAACGGCGGAACAAACCCACGAAATCTTACTCTGTTACCGAAAAATTCGTTGGCGGATTAAGCCTGCTGGCCGCTTACCCCGCCGAAAAGTGCAAGACACTTACAACTTTGCCACTTTACAGGACAAGTCGAGTTTATTTTCACACAAGTTGCAGTTCTCCCTTACCTTCGCGATTTTTCTCGTTGACTGTTCTCATCTACTTCAAAGTTGTCCTGTTGTTTTGTTTGTAAAAAAAAGTGCCTGCGATTTTAGTACGTCTAAGCAGCTCGCGTTTCATACGCTTTGCGTTGCTTTACCCAACTGGCAGACAACAATAGCCGCCAACTGCTACGCGGTGGCCAACTAACCAGCAGCGCTACCTCTTTCCAGGTGACGTTTTTTTTCATTTTGTCTATATTCAGCACAAATCATCTTATTGTCTGCTTTCTGAATTTCGTCCGTTCCCTGCACGCACTATTGCTGCCCTTTAGCTTCTCTATCTCAAATACTTTTATTACTATCAACACATTTGTCGTTATGGCACGGCGACCGCGTGAACATGTCTTGCTTGGAAAGTGTCAACGCTAATTCTTTGAAGGGGATTATTTGAGAAATGAGGCAGAAATTTCTGTCAGTGCGTTAGGCAGCACTTATGACAACGGGAGAAAAAACATAACATTGCATCTTGCTTTTAATGCTGCAAAAGCCGCAGCTTATTAATTGCACTGAATCAACGTTACAGAGGGTTATAATGATTGATTACTAAACTTTTTATCCCGGTAGTGTATCTTCTGTGACGATGGTCTGCCGTCTGACCTAAACTTGTTGGCACGATTCAGAATTGAAAGTAAAATAATTGCGCCTCACGATCAGCTAGAGGGTCACCAGAAATCATCACAAAAGGAAATAATACTATAAAAAAAACATAACGCTTTTCTCTACTACCAGCGTCTATCTGTGTGTTTGTGAGTGTATGTTCGTGCGTCTGTGTGTGTGTGTCCAC